CACTGAGTGAGATTAGTTAATTACCAGGCTCCAGGTGGAGTTTCTGGCTAAGCAATGATCATGGATCAGACAGAACATGACAATCAGCAACTTACCTCCACAATAGAGGGTGGAGGGACCAAGATGCAGAGAGACAAGTGTGGGGATGGTCACTCAGGTACCAGGACCATGGATGGGCACATGGCTTAGATGCCCTTAGAAAGGGGAAGTGGCATGATCCAGCTGGGAATCAAACCATTTGTTGAGATGTGACAATTCTTAATTTAGGGCCCTAGGTTGGGTTTTAAGGGAGCAATGAAATGCCCTATAGTTCCATGCCAAATTGTACGTGAGTATACAAATAAGCCTCTGTTTGAGAAGCAAACATCCACAAGCTTCTCAAAAGATGTAGACGAGTTCTGTAATCTCCCCAGAAAGAAGGAGATTATAAACCACTGCTCTGTTACTGTGGTTCAGAACTGTTGAGTTTGATCTAACTTATAGCGACCCTGTGTATAAGGTTTCCAAGGAGGGGCTGGTGGGTTTGAACTACTGACCTTGCAATCAGCAGTCCAGTGCTTATCCTTCAGTGCCACACCAGGACTCCAAACCACTGCTCTATTGTTGTTGTTGTTATGGGCTTTCGAGCTGGTTCTGTCTCATAGTGACCCTGGTTTCCGAGGAGTGACTGGTGAGGTTTGAACTGCCGACCTTGTGGTTCAAACTGACCTTGCAGTCCAGTGCATTATCCCGCAGCACCACACCAGGACACCACTCCTCTATATCCCTGGAAAAACAGGTTGACATTTGACTCTCAGGGTCCTTAATGATCCTGAAATTATAACTTAAGTTGTGCGTGTGTTTGTTTCTAGAAAAAGGAGCCAATAGATTTTGCTAGATGCTCAAAGGGGTCTACAACCTTCAAGGGGTTGTAGAGCTTGATGTTGTGGTGGTGGTGTGCCATAGAGTCAATTTCAACTCACAGCCACTCCATGTGACAGAATAAAACAAGTCAAATTGCCCCCATGGTTTCCTTGGCTACAATCTTTCTGACATTTCCCCAGCCGGAGCCTCTGAGTTAGCAGCCCCACACTGAAGTACTTCAGCACCAAGACTCGGGTCTGTGTTAGCTTCTCCATTGCCATGGAATGAATTTTGGCTCACAGTGACTCTAAAGAACAGAGTAGAACTGCCTCCACAGGGTTTTCAATGCTGTCATCTTTTGTTTATTAAAGAAGAAATAAAATTGCGTTTTATTTTGAAAACTTTTGAGGACATACAGTAAAACTTCAGGGACCAGGTTTCTGTAGAGTCCAGGTTTTATAGGTAAGATATAATGTTTGCTAATACGCTGTCTTTGGTAACTTTTAAGTATTTCTACATTAGGAGTTTATTTAGGAAACCTCTTTTCTTTACATCAGGTCCTGGTGTGGTGCTGTAGGGGTAAGCACTGAGCTGCTAGCCACAAGTTTCAAACCCATCAATCGCTCCTTGGAAACCTTATACAGGGTCACTGAGTCAGAAATGACTCCATGTCATTTAGCAACAAATTCATGGTAAAATTTAATGGGCTGGGAGCTGAGACCAGAGACAGATGTGGGATCACTCCCAGTCACTCTCTAAACACAAGGGAGCTTCAAAAAGTTCGTAGAAAAATTCCATTTTTCAAGAATTTTTTAAAGCTCTCTTGTATTTGGTCTTATGACACTCAACCTCTTTGAGCCTACTTGCTCATCTGTAGGATAATTGTTAGGATTCCCCTGCACACTACCCACCCCTCTTCATTAATAAGAAGTGGCAAGATCCTGTAAACGGGTGGGAAGGCCCCACCGTCTAGGTGGTCCCACAGCCAGCATATTCTTTCTCTCTGGCCCCAGTTCCCTCCTGTCCACCTCTGCCCTCGCCTTGCTGGGCTTCACTCCAATTCCCAGCATCAGGTCCTTTCTCCCTCTTGTGTTGGGGGAGGGTTGGAGGTGCAACTGGACCCAAAGAAGTTTACATCACAATCTGAGGCATAGCTTTACTATATCTAGCCCAAGGGAGCTGAGTGACCAGATTGGGGAGAAGCATTTTGTTTTTGCCTTGAGCGAATGTTCTCAGAGACCTGTGAGTGAGAAGGTGATGAAGAATGAACTGAACAGGAACAGAGGGTGCTTAAGTTGGGGTTGGACCAGGAAGGACCAACGTTTAAGGCTGAGGGTCAGAGTGGGGGAAACGCTAGGCTTTAGAGGAGGTGCAAGGAGTGGGGTACAGGAACCTTCGAGGCAATGGAATTTTCCAAATGATGTAGCTATGCTGAGGCAGCCTCTAAATGGTGCTTGGGGAAGGGAGGATGTGACATCCCTGTACCTTTCTAAAAAACAGATATGGCCTTCCAAAGACCTTATAGTATCTGTCCAAGGACAGCCCCAAGACCCACAGGCCTGGGGTCAGGAAAGTGCTCTTGGTTTGACACTGTAGGAAAAGCACTGGACTGCTAGCTGTAAAGTTGGCAGTTCAAAGTCACCAGCTGCTCCGCAGAAACCCCATACAAAGTCACTATGAGTCAGATCCACTCAGTGGTGCTGTAGGATAAACAGTGGACTGCTAACCACAAAATTGGCAGTTCAAATCCACCAGCCACTCCGCGGGAGACAGGCGAGGCTTTTTGGGGAGAGGGGAACCTTATGCAGGATTGTTATGAGTTGGAATTGACTTGGTGGCAGTGAGAATAGACTCTTACAGGAAGGAACCCTGGTGGCTCAGTAGTCAAGTGCTTGGCTACTGAGCAAAAGGTTGATGGTTCCAACCTGCCTTGTGATCTGCTTTGATAAAGATTGTTGTTGTTAAGTGCTGTCCAGTCAGTTCTGACTCGTAGAGAACCTGTATAGGGTTTCTGAGGAGCTGGTGAGTTTGAACAGATGACCTTGTGGTTCAAACCGACCTTACAGTTGAGTGCTTATCCTACAGGACCACACCAGGACTCCTTAGTAAAGACTGTTGTTGTTAAGTACTGTCGAGTCGATTCTGACCCATAGAGACCCTGTATAGGGTTTCCAAGAAGCAGCTGGTGAGCTTGAACCACCAACCTTGCAGTTCAAACATCTTTGCAGTCTGACACATTAGCCCACAGCGCCACCCCAGGACTCCCTAGTAAAGATTACAGCCTAGGAAACCTTATGGGGTAACTCTGCTCTGGCAAATGGTGTATGAGTCCGAATCAACTCAATGGTACCGAACATCAACAGCAGTCTAACTGGGATTTTACTCAAGTATTTTACAAAGGTTTCAAAGGGGGCGTGGATAATGGTGATGGGAAGACTGAATTGGATGTTGTTGTTGTTGTTGTTAAGTGCCGTCGAGTCGGTTTCGACCCATAGCGACCCTGAATAGGGTTTCCGAGGCTGTAAATCTTTACGGGAGCAGATCGCCTCATCTTTCTCCCGCGGAGCAGCTGGTAGTTTCGAACTGCTGACCTTCCGGTTCGCAGCCCGATTCGTAACCACTACGCTACCAGAGATAGTTGTTGCTATATTAAGTGCTGTGGAATTGATTCCGACTCATAGCCACCTGGTATCCGAGGAGTGGGCTGGTGGGTTTGAACCGCCACCCTTGCAGTTAGCAGTCTAGTTCTTATCTTACAGCGCCACCCACACCAGTGACACTGATACTGTGAAACCAAGTCCAAGGCTGTGATTTTTATGGTCTCCGACTACCACTTCCTTCACCGCGGAGCAGCTCTTGCGTTCAAACTGGAGGAACTGCTAATCTTTGGGTTAACAGCCAGGCGCTTAACCACTGCATCACGGAGTTTAAAAAGCTAGAAGGAATACCCATGGGACGCTACTTCTTTCCAGAGAAAGATCACAGAGATGTGAAAACAAAGTAGGTCCTGCTCAGAATTTGTCCTAAACAGTCCAGGGTCAGGGGCTTGTTGACGGGAGTCTTCCACGAATGAATACAATGGAATCGTCTTAAGAGTCAAATGCCCAGAGGACACACCAGTGAGTAATGATCAGAAAGGCGGTGGATGGGGAAACAACTCCAGTCCCCTCCCTCTCTGAAGGCGTATAGCCCAGATTTTTCTCTTCCAAAACCATGTATTCCCGATTTCAGAAACCCAAAGACGTCTCTTGGGAAGCGCAAAATTCAGTCAGTAAATACTGAGCGCCTAAGTGCAAGGCTCTGTACTAGGCGCAAATAAGGCCTTGACATCACACAGCTTGAAGGACCTAAGCCAATTTCCGGCCTTGTACATGGGTCTTTGGGGTCCTGCTGACCAAGCGCGTTAGTCTCAAGCTTAGCCTCGCTGGGCCCTTAGTGCAGTGAGGCAGAAGTCATCCCACCCACAGCGGAGAACCGGGGGAGAGGGGGGAACGAGAAGGCGGGAAGCAATACCTGTGAGCAGAGCGGTGAGGGAGGCGGGTGGACGCACCGGGCCAGAGCAGGTGGGTCAGGCTCTGCCCCGACACTGCTGGGGCGAGGGGCAAGGCGGAGTGGGGTGAGGGCACTGCCCGGGAGACGCTGCCCGCAGCCGCCTCGGCTACCGTGCTCGGCCCGCTGCCCGCCTTCCAGGGCGGTAGCGGAGCGCTGCTCTCCATACTGAGCAGTCGGGGAGGCTCTTAGACACGTCCCCAGGCCGGATACATATCGGTTCCGCGCTTGCTCTGCAGCGCGGAATCTCGCCTTCAGCATGGCTCGCGCTGCCGCCCCGGCCCGGCGACGCCAGATCGCTATCTAGGGGTACTGCGAAGGCAGCACGGCTGCGCCCGCGGCCCCTCGGCCCAGCGCACAGGGGTGGACGCGGGGCTCCTGGGCTCAGCGCCCTCCCTTCCCAAGGGACTTCGGCTCCCACCGGCCCAGGGCCCAGCGCCCCACCAGGAGCCCTTTTCCCCACGCCAGGCCCTGCTGCCTCCTGAAGGTTACGCGACGCAGCGGCGGGGGGCGGCGGAGTGCGGGGGGCGCCCGCCCTCGTTGCCGCCTGCGCCGCCGCCCACCCTATGCCCGCCGCGCCGCGCCGCGCCACGCAGCCGGGCCAGCCGGGCTGCCGACTGCTGCCACCGCAATCCCGGCTCCTAAATCAGCGCGGGAGGCACCCCTCCCCCACCCGGCTCCCCAGGCGCCGGGGCCGCGATTGGCCGTGCGGGCGCCCCCCGCCCCCGGGCCCCGGTTCCAGCCGCCGCGCCATTGGCTGCCAGCCTCCGCCAGCCTTTACATAAGCCCGCGCGCGCTCGAGTGGAGTTGTATAAAGCCAGCGAGCGGCGTCGGGGCGGGAGGCTCGAGGCCAGCCCAGGACTGGGGCTGGGGGCGGTCAGAGGCGGCGGCAGAGGCGGCGGCAAGCGCCCGCGCTCCGGCGCCCCCAGGCTGTGGGGCTGAGCGAGTCCGAGGATGGCTCCGCGAGCGGACCCTGGCGTGAGTACCCGCTCCTGTGCCCCCACCCCTTTGGGCAGATAAAGTTTCTCCCGCCCTCCGCGCCCCTCCCGCGCCTCTCGCAGCGGCTACAGGGATGCCATACGGGATCCAGGGGAAACCGGGACTGTGAAGGCGGCGGCGGCCGATTTGCTCACAACTTGCCAAGAGGCACTGGACTCGACTGGCGCTAAGAGCTTCCCCAGCTGGCTGGGGACGAGGCGGGTTTATGGTTGGAGGTGGCCAAGACGTGGAATTGGAGATGTCGGGGTGACAGCCCGCACCTGACTGGGAAGGTGTTGGGGGCGCGCTTGGAGGTCAGCTGTTTGGGGAGGGGGCACAGGCGTTTGGGAGGAGGCGGAGCAGATAAGGCGGCATGTGTAGGGGTTATCAGGGAGTCACCCAGCCAGGGAAGCTACTGGCCTCTGCCGGGCCAGTGCTTACACTACCAGGCAGGAGAAGTGCCACGCGGGCTGGCGCTTCCTTCCCTGGAGTAGCCGAGCTTCCAGGCACAGCGCTGGGTAGCGGAGAGCTCCAGAGCCAGTCCCGCACGCGGCGTAGCTGCCAGCGGCTTTTGCTGGACCGAGGTGTGGTCCCCAAGATTCCAGCCTGCCTCCGACGATCCAGCTTCAGTCGTTGAAGAGGTCTCCCTGGAGGTCCCATGAGGGGGGAGTGTGGAGGCTTCCATGGGCTAGTAGGCCGAGCTTGGGGTCATGGGCAGCAATGCAATTTGCTTCTTTGCAGTACAGTAGTTGCGAGCTCTGGTTAGTCGGGTTTCTGCAGAAACCAACCCAAGAATCCAAAGTCATCCCAACCTGGATGGGAGTGTGGCCAGAATGGCTCCTGGGTTTGGGAGCCTCCCCTTCCACCAAGAATGAGTAATGAGTTTGTTTCTCTGGGGAGGGGGCCACCTAATGTACCTTCTGTGCGTACCTCCCAGGAGGTGCTTTCGCTCTCCAGGAAGAACGCATTCTTGAGTCGCACTTGAGGTGTCTTCTGGGATGAGTGCAGGACTTCCCACGTGAAGCCAGGCAGGAAGGAAAGGAGGAGGGTCCCTGGAGGAAGAAAGCTCATGCTTGCTACCTTGGCTGGAAAAGCTATTGATGGAAGGTGTTAGACTCTGACGACTTGGGGCCAGAGATACGACTGAATTAGAGCTAATTCCAAGATGGCACTACCTCACTCTCAGCCACGGGGAGGAGAGGTGGAGAATGGATATATGGGGGGCATGGTGGTTGTTCCAATATGGCACTTGAGGAAGCATTTTCTCCCTCTCTATAACTTGATTAAGAACACCCTTCAGGCAGCAGAAGTCAAATTAAGAGGCAACAAAGGCACAGTGGATCACACGTAGAATATTCTGGTTTCTGGTTGGTACTGATGGACTGTGGTGGGTTACCTGTTTTGAAGCAGCTCAGTGTGAGCTCTGCCCTTCACCTTTACCCTGTTCCTGAACATGGGTGGATGTTTTGAACTCCAAGGGTAGATTGAGATCTTTCATGGGGCTGCTATTCCATACCCTCCAAATCAGCTTCATCCTCTGCTTGCAATCGACAAGACCTTATCTCCACTGGGAATTGTTCAGTGAAATACCTGCTTGTTGAGCTTTCTTTTTCTTCTCCCCGTCTGGGTTGCATCTGGTATTCTGAACCCTGATATTTATTCCTAGATATTTGGCTAATAAGTCCTATTGATGCACAGGGGAGTCCCTTGTGAATGTGTGGATCAATGACCGGTGTAATTGTAGGGGTTGAAATATAGATTCATAGAAGTTCCGGTACTGGGAAGGCAGATCTTTTCAACGGTTTATGATAGTCTCTTGTTCTCAAGCTTCATTGCCTGACTATAGAAGTGGTGGAAGCTATGAGGTGGAGCCGGATCCTTTGTGTCCAGTAGGGGGCGCCAAAGGGCGTCTAAGGCACCCTGCTCAGGACCACTGACTTTCTCACTTTTTGCCCTTCACTGGCCATAACAACTTTATGCTGTAAGCAAGCTCTGGCCATGGCCCCCAGTTGTCATTTTCTTGATAGAAGCCCTTCTACCATAAGCTTCCTGGATTTGGGGTGGTCCTGTGACCTCAGGTCCAATGGGACAGGTGCAATTACAACATTCCAAGGAAAGAGCTGGTGCACAGCCCCACCTTCTCTCTGAGGCCATCACTTTGTGCTCGGTGCTGGTGTATTCTCTGAACTCACTTAAGGGCTCACAGAGTCAAACATATTAGAGCTCTGAGAGTCGAGCCTTACAGAGCACTGAATCCAAACACATCCCCTAGTACTTGGATGCATACATATTTACCGATGAGGAAACTGAGACCCTATAAAGGCAATTCTCTTGCCCAAGTCACACAGCTATCTGTTTGGGATTAGGTCCTAGGCCTCCATTTCTCTACTCCCCAGAGCTCTTCCATGCCAGGGAGCTGCTCCCCCTTTACTGTGGAGTCCAACACAGTACACAGTAAGTATTCACAATTGCTGACTGACCAGACTTTAGTCAATTAATAAATTTGGTGAATCAATTATTCAGAGCAAAGAACAGATGAAGTTCAGGTCATGTTGCTGTTGTTAAGTGCCGTTGAGTTGGTTCTGACTCATAGCGATCCTGTATAGGGTTTCCAAGGAACTGCTGGTGGGTTTGCACCGTCGCCAACCTTGTGGTTAGCAGTCTGGTACTTACTCTACGGCACCACTCCAGGATGCCTGGTGATAGAAATTATTAATGATTTTATCCCCTTCTTCCTTCACTCGCTTGTCCCATTATTGTAAGTGGTGGTCTAGGCAAAAGCAATGTGATCCCCCTTTTCCAGGCATGCATTTAGGACTCAGAAGAACCCTTACCTTATAGCTCTTTCTTTCCTCCACCAAGGTGTGCCCCAGTGGGGTATCTCTCCTGCTGTCACGCTGGGACCTCCCAAACTCTAATCTTGGGTGAAGCGGAGTGTTTGCAATCAGATTTTGCCTTTTCTCCCATCCTTCCTGCCCCAAGTTCAAGGTCAGAGTGCTAGGATGTTCTATTTTTGAAAAATCCTTGTGTTAGGGCTTCTTGAGTGACCTGGAAGATACACCATCCCCACTGTCCTTTCTTTGGTTTTGGAGGTCTGACTGGTGACATCTGAGCTGGGCCCAGAGAAGGAGGTTGCCCCTATGCTATCCTGTCTGTATTGCTCACCCCACCTGTCTTCTTTGCACACTGCAGGGAGGAGCTTGCTTGGCTTTTCCTTGGTGCCTTGGCAGACAAGGCTGGCCTACCCTCATGAGAAAGCTAGGCGCTGTCACGCCATAATTGTGAGAAGCAGAATCCTCTGTGTCCCTATAGTTCACCCAAGGGATGCTTGTTGCCAGGGACGATGCTCGTGTTTCCTTATCTCCCTCTGGCTGACAGACAAGTTGGATCTTCATCTTCTGGGGTGGAGGGGACGAGATAATATGGACCATCCAAGAGCAGGAGTTCCTGTCTTTAAAGCAGAGTTCTGAGAGGCTGTGCTTAAGATCCTGACCAGTTTGTTCTCAGCTTTAGCTAAAGAACGGTGCCTGTGTTCGCAAGGCTTGGTCTAGTTCTGGATAAGGCCAGAGGAAAATACATTCACAAAATAGGACTACAGTGGAGGATTTCTGTTTGCACATGGGCAGGGGCATAGAGCTTGAGAAGTGGCATTAGGCAAGAAATCTTTCCCATTCCTGAGTCCTGTCAGGCGGCTGACCCTTACCTCATCCTTGCTGGAAAGACAGCCTAGTGTCATGGAAAGGACATAGGGTTAGAATTAGGCTTCTCTGCTTACTGATTTAAGGAGCTCTGGTAGCGTAGTAGTTACGAGTCAGGCTGCTAACCTGAAGGTCACCAGTTCAAAACTACCAGCTATTCTGCAGGAGAAAGATGAGGTTTTCTGCTCCCATAAAGATTTATAGTCTCAGAAACTCTGTATAGGGTAGCTCTGAGTCAGAACTGACTCCACGGCACATAACCAACCAACCAGCTTACTGATTTAGGGACCTTGAGCTTCAATTTCCCTCCATGCTAAATGATATGCCAGCAATCCTTAATGGGAATTATTGTTGTTAAGTGCTGTTGAGTTGGTTCCCACTCATAGCAGCCCTGTATAGGGTTTCTGAGGAGTGGCTGGTGGGTTTGAATTGCTGACCTTACAGTTAGTAATGCAGTGCTTGTGCTACTTGCTCACACCATGACGCCTTGATGGGGGTTTTGTTGTTGTTATTAAGTGCCATCGAGTTGTTGTTAAGTGCTGAGGAGTGGCCGGTTTGAACCACCGGCCTTGTGGTTCATAGTTCAGGGCTAATGCTGTACTGAACATCTAGAGATGCTCTGCAGTGGGTCTTTGGGAAGACGTAGAGGTATTCAGATGAAAGGAGCTGGCTCCCTGGGAACTTTTCCCAGCAAGCAAGACTGAATGTCCAGGTTGGCCCACCAGCCTCTGCTCGCAGCAAAATCTGGACTGATGGACAAGGTCTGGGCAGGGCTCCCTCTTTGCCTTCTTCTCTCTCCCACCCCAGGGTTTTCATTTGGGGGTTCTGCCATGCTTGGGGAAAAGACATTTTTCCGGTCCCAGGATAATTCTGAATGTGATGGAAGGCCCTGAGCTATTGATTCCTAAGAAAGGATCTTTCTGCTGGGAGAAGCCTTCCTTGGAGCCCAGTGATTTAAGAGTGCTGACAAATCCGTGCTCACCCAGCCTCCTGCAGCTTGCAGATACAGGCGTCCAAGCCAGCCTGGGCTCTGCGAAGGATTTCTGGGGAGCCTGGCTGGTTGCTTAGGGGACAGAAACCTGTGAACTTTCCTTAGGAGGAAGTACGAAATCAATTGGTTCATTATCACACCAAACACACCCTGGACCAGTTAAGGCATTTAAAAATGGGAAGTAGCAAAGGACTGGGAGGTTGTATTTGGAAAGTGTGAAGGGGTTAGGGAGAAGGAGGGAATAGGGAGACCTTTTCCCCACTGAACCCTTCATGAGCTTGATCTTATGGAAGTCCTTGGGCAGTGACTGG